TATATTTATAATTATTAGTTTAATAATTTAAATTACTATATCAATTTTTTCATTTAAAATTAACTAATAAAGAATGCAGATGAAATTATAATTATTTGTCTAGTTGCTATAATGGGATCAAATGATTTTAATCTATTTTGATAGGATTTTATTAAAATAGAATAGATTTTATGTGTATCATTGAAATTATGTTTAGATATATTTAATCTGTTAATTTATAATTTATCATTTATATTTAATATATCTAATTGCAAAATTTTAGCTTAGAATATTTTACATTTAAGTTGAGATCTTCATAATTAATTGAAAATTAAGAAAAAATAATTCTAAATTTCATTAAAATTTATAATAAGCTTCAACTTTGATGATGTGTAAGCCTGCATTGTAAGTATTACCTCCTAAATTTAATATTTAAAATTTATCGACATGCTATTCTTTAAATTAAATAGTCATTTGACTTATTGCTGGGTTTTATGAATTGCTATCATAAATATCAGTTTTTTTTTGATCCAAAATGGCATAAACTTTTATATAATAATATCTGTCCCCTTCGTTATAACCATAATCCCAAAACCAAATTTTTAATGTATTCAATAAATATTTTTAGAGTAGGGATATGGAAACTTATTTCCCTAATCCACAACCAGTATAAGGTACTCTGCCTGTCATAAAGTTATATAGATTATCTCTTAAACAAACCCCATTATTCCCGTTGTTAAAGAAATTATTTTATCTAGACGAAATCAATGCTCCTGCTTAATATGATAACACATTCTAGTGATTTTTCTTTAATAATGAATTTGATTTCTTTAAATATCTGAAGCTATCCTATTAAGTCATTTAAATTAAGATTAAAGAAAATATCAGTATTAATCCACTCTTCATATATTACTTATTATAATAAATAAAAAAAGTCATCAAAGTAAATATATTACTTTCTTATACTAAACTCAAATTATTATGTGGATCTGCAGATGGGATGGACATAGTTTATAATTAAGACTTGGCACTGCAGTCATTAAGCCTGTTCAAGGAAGGAGATTAAACTTTATTTAAAACTGATCTCCAACACTACATGACAGGAATGATATAGTACAGGGTCCCGGTAATTTCTTATTCTAATGAATTTTACTGTAGATCCTGTAATTTTCTTAAAATTGAAGAGGGTGTGATAATATGATCTCTGTTTTCAAGATGGTTTCTGACTTGGGATTATGAAATAATATCGCTGTTATTAAGATTATTAGATTGAAAATCAATATATTTTTCTTTAATTATATTTGCTAAATACTATTCTGCACTACTCAAAAGTCTTATATAATTGGAAATTTTAGGAATACCCAAATATTTTGATTTAAAATGAATATTTAGCCACTTTGGTTCTATGTAACTGCTATTCTTAATTCATAATATTAAATATAATAAGTAATCATATTGCTGAGTGCTGATAATTTATGTAATGCTTAAATTTCTATTTTATTTAATATCCAAGAGTTTTGATAGATTTAAAAATCATAAAATTGCTAATCTATTCAACTAAAATTAATACAAAAAATCTAAATTTTAATTAAAATCTATACAAATTCTAACATAATAGATAATTACTAAAACATAGATAAGAAGATTTTTATATATTTACTATATTAATAAATATATACGAGTAACATATAATTAAGCAGGGATTTATATTTCAACCAAATCTTATATTTGAACTTAAAATATCAGGTTATTAACATTGAATATTTATAAACTTTATTAATTAAATCTAAAAATTGATCTAATCTTTACCAATTACAAATTTTCTTTTTAAACTAAAATATAATTGATTTTACACCTGCTATTTTATATTTTTTAAGTGTATTCTTACTAATATTATCCTTTATATAAAAAAAATGATCTTAAACAATTTAGAATATTATAAAATTATTAAGTAGTTATTAGTCACAATTTATTTTATTGTTCTTAAATATAAGAAACAATTTACTTATAAATCATTTATTCAAATAATTTCTCTTAATAAGCCAATTAAATTATATTTGATAAATTTAAAATTTTTATGCCTTTGTGATAATATTATATAACTTTGGCTAAGAAATGACAATGGGCTTCAAATATATTCTTGCCACTCAATTTTTAGAATCTTTTCAAAAGTCAAGGGAAATATTTAAAGAAAATTCAAAAAGTCAACTCACATTATTTATTAAAGAAGGTTATTAATTTTCGTATTCAAGATGAAAAAGCTAAAATAATATTTAAAGAACTTGTGCAAAACTTTATTAGGATAATCGTCATGAGACTGTTTAATCAATTTTTATTTAAAAATAGTCTCAAAATCAAACTTATATTTATATATGTCTAAGGCAAAGATTAGAGTAATATTGTAAAATGAAAAATTATTGATAAACCAGAGTAAGTCAGCATTTCTTATTCAGTTAGAATATTATATCTTTAATATTTCAGAAGGAATAAAAATGGCACCTGGCTAAAGTATGTATATTAGAATAACTTCAATCCATAAAGAATTCATTTAAAATTTTAGGATAGTAAAAAGACAGTTATCTTGATCAATTATAAATAAATTTATATAAATCTGGATTTTATATAAAGTCTAGTTAAAATCTTGGGAGATATAGTAAGATTAAATTATCAAATTCAAATAAATATTTAGATAATGCTACTACTCGTTTAATATTTTTTCAAGAGTTAAATATGTTATGTTGATATGTCATTATATTTGATAATTTTATAAGAAATTTCTATTCTATTCTTCAAAAATTTTAATTATATTAT